CTCCAAGTTACTGGAGAAGGAAGTTCGTTGTTTAGAATCTGATCAGTATTACATTTAGGAATTCAACAAAACTATGAATTACTATTTTCCACATTGCTTAAACTCCAGCTACACAATTCTTGCTTTCTGAGTTGACCTGCCCTCATTTACATCACTCCACTAGGTAGTCCCCTATACAACAGATTCTTCCCTTCCATTCTCCAACCAAAATCAGTGTTTCTCTTTCTCCTCATTGCTTTTTTTGTAATTTTTTTCCCCACAACAGCATGTAGGTGAAAACTTCAATAGCTAGAAAATATCAAGAGAATGCTTAATCCCCCAGGTATGATTGTTACACATAAAGATATCATAATCAAATCAGTCAGATACTGCTTTCCCGTTTTGGTCATCTCATGCTAAAAAAAAAAGAAAAAAAAAAAAAAGACATAACAAAACTATAAGCTAGTCATCAATTCATATCTCATTATTAATGATGTTGCAAGCTAATATATGGAAGACTAAAAAAGCTAGTCATTGAAGGACTCGGTATACCACCAATTTGTGGAGTTCCAATGAAAAATTTTTTTTCTCACTAAGAAAACACCTTATACACTGAGGTATAAATGAAAACTGTTATCAAGGATTTCAAATGCTATTAGGGACTTAATTTTTTTTTTAACTCCATGGACTAGAAACCACTGTTTACTATGCAGTATTATTCCCCCACACATAAATATATCTTTATGTCATTAGACACTCATAATACTTCTGGAAAAATAACTCCTGATAAAACAAACTCTCAGCCTCCTCCTCTGAAGTGTTACTTTTCATGTAGTTCACTGAGCACTTACAGACAGCCTACATACAGGAAACCTGGAAATTGTCTTGGTTTCCCCTGTGTAGAGTTTCCCAATAAAAGAAAGGAAAAGCAACTTTTTAGAGCCAAAAGCAGTATTACCTCTATAAAAATAACAGCTGAGTGTAAACTAAAATCTAACTTGTAGTGGGGGGAGGAAGGGTGTCATAGTACTGAGTTGGTGGGGTTCCATTTAAAACAAAAGAAAGTGGTTTTGATTCCTCTACATGCATGAGAAAGCATGGCAAAAAAAAAATCGCAGGAGAGCTTAGGCTTTTTTATGTCTATAACCTAAAGTAAAAGTCTTTAAGTTGCACTCAGAATGCCTTTTACACATCAGCATGAAAATATTCTTCTGTAGTGCAAAGTTAATTTAGTAAGCTGGAATGGAATTCATTAACAGTAAGAAATTAAATTTAAAACTTTAATCAGCACTGTGCCATGACCTTCTACCATGATTTTGCTTCTTATCACTCTAAATAACACTATGTATAGATTACACAAGGCTATTTTAACATTTTTTAAAATTATTTGAAGACAGTGTACTTATATTATGCATTAATTATAGTTAAGCCTGTCTCATCACAATAAAGTCTTTAGCAATCCTCAAAGTATGTGATTTCAGACAATTTCCTATGAAGAGACACACCTGTTGGTCAAGGAATGTCACAGTCTAGAAATATAAAATTTAAAAAGTTACATTTAAGTGTTGTAATCCATACTGAGGAATGAATAACCAGCCACAAATATAGCTGAATTCTTAGTTTCCAGTTTCAAAACGTGTATCTTTTTCCAAGTTGCCTTGTACAGCTTAAAATGGCTTTCTTAGTAAATAGTTATTGAAATAACTTTTTCAAGGTATACATTTGAGTTGTTGAAAAAAATGGCAAGGAATAAAAGTCTAACCAGAACAGAAAGTATAGAACATAGCACTTCAACAAAAGAAATACATTAAATTCCTGCTTTTTATTGTGTTAAGAGCACCCACATAGCTCATGAAAATAATCTGCTATGAAAGATCTGAGACTAGGAACCTCCTCTTACCTATTCATCCACACTAAATCACTTAGCAAGGCCATCTGCTAGGATTGAACTGTAGATCTGACATAGTAAGTCTTTAGAAAGAATTTTGCAAGTTATACTTTAAGGAACAGACTCATGATAAAAATGAAGCCCCAACAAACTTGTATCATAAACAGTCTCCACTTGATACAGACTGGTATTTAATTCTGGAGCCACACCAAGACAACACAAACAACTGGCAAGTCCTTCAACATCAAGGCAAACTGTCAGCTGAGTTTTTATTTTTCTTCCAGAAAGCACCAAGATATAATTTACAAGGCCACAGTCCCTTCTCTTCAGAGTTATCCCAAGAAGGTTATAAAGAAAACAATATGTACACAACTTTACAACACCTTTTAACATTCTCTTATTCTGAAGTAGTCAAGCTGATTTGGGTGTCCAGCACAGATCAGAACAACTCTAAAACTGACCGAGCTTTCTCATGTACCAAGGCTTGGGATTTAGAGAGGTCTTCTTCAACTTCTGTCATGTTACTTGCCTTCCTATTTTTGCAGTGGTCTCCTTCCAACCTACAACCCTCCACAGAGGACAAGTCTGAAGAGCTTTGTATTTTCTCTCCATTCAGAGGAAAGCATGTACATAATTTTATTTTTCCTTTAAAAAAAAAAAGTGTTCTGTCACGCCAGCTGATATCACAAAAATCCTATTCCAAACAATTTACAGTAACTTTATGACTCCTCCTCATCTACAAGGAACAGGAGAAGCCTTAGAACCCTTCACAGATTCTGTGTCACCAACACCTGCTGTGGATTGTTCCAGGTCAACCCAAAGACCTACTAGTTCTTTTCTAAGCAGTGTCACACCATTATTGCTAGCAGGGAGGGTATTCTAGGAGAAATAATTCCAATGACTTCTTGATTCACACCAATTGGCTTGGAGTAACAATAGTACCATATTTCCTCAACATTGTAATCATAAGGCACTGTCAAGTACGTTCAGAAGCTACAAAAATCTCCACGTTTCAAACTCACATGTTGTTTTGGGATAGACTTAAAACAGATCTGTATTTTTGAATCTCTCATACCAAATATATCATACTGCTTGAAGTGGAAGCTTCTATTTTATTAATAAATATGCTGGTTTTCCGGGGAAGTTGGGAGAACTGATAGTATCCAAATCCTAGTGTTTCACCAGAAGAGAATATCTAAGGATTTAACTTAAGGTATTTTGTTCTGGTCCTAGCATGACCTAACTTCTCCAGGTATTTCTAGACACAATTTATGTCTAAAATCAAATAATCAAGCTCTATTATTTTCCACAAATAATAATAGCCTGAAAGTTGTGTGTCTAACACTAAACTCCAGACACATCACAGGTTTTACTCACATACGGAAAAGACAACTGTCAGCCTTTTCCCTGTGCTCTCCTTAAGCTCAGAGCAGAGCTACTTTCTTCCATCACCTTATGACACAAAATTTAGTCCTCTCCTCACTCTCACTGCATGTTTCACACCCGACAGATGCCCACGTTATGAATTTTTAAAGGATGAGAATTTTCTAGTACAGCCGATATGTCTGCAAATATAGTATAAATCAGGTATGTTCAGTCATTTGTAGTGTTAGAAATCTACTATGTTTACTGTTACTATTGTCAAAAAGAAGAAATACAACACAGAGAGAGTTCCTAAAGAACAACTTGCAAAAATTTTGTATGTGATCTTGAAAGGACTTTTTTGTAGCTTTTTTGTAACTGCCCACCAAGTTTATTTTTTATGTTAGCCTGAGCATTTGGGCTAGAACTAGAGTTGTTAGGCACCTGGGGTGAAGAGGCCAAACACTGCCATTCAAAACCCATAGCACTCTACAAATGCTAGCCTGAATTCAAGCTGTTTCCTCAACTCTTGTCATTCTGCACAGCAGAGAAGCACGTAAAGCAAGCTTCCACTTTAATTTCATCATCATATTCTCAAACTGAAAGCCTTCTTGTCATTTGCATTTCCAAAAACACTTTGGGGGGTCGGAGGAACCTCTCTGTATAGGGAAAAAAATAAATTGTTTGAACAAAAAACTTGTGCTTGCATCTGACAAACATAACCAGCACAGAGAGAAAATGTTTACAAGACTTAAAAAAAGTTATTTTTCTTTGAACAGTTAAGAGTTGTCCTGTACTTTATTATATCATCTTTCCTTATGGCATTTTTCTCCTTGGACACATTTCCAGGGTCACATCCAGAGTTCAGCTTACATGTGATCCTACAAACCTTACTGTGTACACACTGCTTTGAAAACTAGAATATGCCATCTACTGGCAATTTAATAAATTGGAAGTCCATCCATCACTACTGAAGTTTATGCGTATTCAATTTAAACACAAAACAAACGGGACAAACTCCAGCAAAGCCCTTCAGATTGCATTCTAGCATTTAGTATATAAACAAGTTACAGATCATAAGATACCAAACAACAAAGTTAGGAAGCTCTAGCTAGTGCTGCACTAACTTCTGTTCAGCACAACTTTCTGAACCTTAGTTCAACTGGTTTTCCTTCTCTTTCTCAGCTGCTATTTTATTATGAGAGGGAATAATATATTGCCTATGACCTATTTAGTCTGAGGTTTCTAGAACAATGAACAGCTGTGTAGTGCCTTCCTAGTAATGTGGAATAACTGCAGTTACCTAACTGAACCTAAAGAAAGAGTTGTCTGAAAGATTTTGTATAGTGGAAGAGTTCAAACATATCTAACTCACGTGCTTTAAGGGAACAGTATCCGTATTTTAGTAACCAGTTCACTTTAACATACATATGTCTAACACTGCAATAACACAATTGTGCTTCAGGGGACTGTTCAGGGTAAGTTTCCAAAACTGTATTTTTAAAGCCTGGCTAGTATAAGGGTAGTTTCCACCTATGCAATGTAGTAACACAAACTTCCGAGAAAGTGGTTAGACCCAGAGAATAGGTGCTTTACACATCTGAACCTGCTATGTTAGGTGACCACACCGGAACTGTCGGAGCGTGTAAACGGAGCACCTTTAGCCCTGGGAGGGGAGCAAGCCTCGGCAGGTGAAGCCGCAAGCCCGGCTCTGCGCGGACAGCGGGCCGGGGGTGACCTTCCCCCACACCGCCGCCGGCGTAGGCGTTACCTGGAGCCGCGAGTTCACGAGCATGAACTCCTGCTGCGCCTTCAGGCTGTCGTTCACGGACTTCGAGAAGACAAACCCCATAGTGCCCTGGAGCGCCGCGGAGACGAGGCAGGAGCTGCCGCCGAGGCGGGCAGTATGGCGGGCGGCTCTCCCCGGCCCCGCCCCGGGGCGGTGGCGGCGGGCAGGCCGCGGGGCCGGGCCGCCCGGCGGAGCGTTGCGCGGAGAGGCCCGCTCGGCTGCGCGGGCCGCTCCCTGAGGGCGGGCGGCGGCCGCCCGCCATGCGGCATGGCTGTGGGGGGGCGGGGCCCGCGGGAACGGGCCTGCGGGTTCCTGTCGCCATCTCGCGCTGTGCTTTTTGCGGACTTCCTCTTCGATCGAATTTCGAGTAAACGATCTAAAGTCCTCCAGCAGTGGGAAAGAAATGCGGCTCCGGTCAAATGGGACTGGCACCGCACGTGCTTTTAGCCGAGGAATTGAAATGGCGTTACAGGTTTGAGGCAATTTAGGAACGTAAACGTGGAAAAAAGCCATGGGCTTCTTGCTGGTTCTTGCAGCTTGTGTGGGTATTAAAAATGCGCTGGATGGGAAGTGCCAGTCCTGCAGGTGTCTGCACGTCGGTTTCTTTTTTCTTTTATTATTTTTTTTTTTTAAATACTTCATCTATAGAAACTGACCCAAGAAAATTAGAGGAATTAATCTCCATGTTAAATGTATATACAGGGCCTGGCAGGTTCACATCTCGGGCATGATGCAACTGGGTACTAAGTACAAATTAGCAAAGAAAGGGATGAAATGCCTTCGACACTTGGGTTGCTTGTCTTACTCTGCCTTTCATCCTGTGTTAGAATGTTTTCATGGCGGCATCCATAATTAAAGGCTGACTTTGAAATCCAAATTTACTTTTCATAATTAAAAAAGTGTTGAGACAAAAATTATGCTCTGTCAGTTGGCTTTTAAAACAGAGATACAAATGCTGGATAGGATCCCCTGGAGTCTTTTGTCACTAAAGGGTATCTCATTGAAGTTTCCAGTGCCAGTCCATGAGAAAATACGGCACTTCAGATACCACCTCATAGTGGAATTTGACATCTCACAACAAGAAGTAATCATCTTTTTCCAGAATGAGTCTTCTAGTTCAAGATTCAGATGTAGTGAGTGTTGTTTTCAAATACTTGCATCTGCTAATGTCTTGACGTGCAAGTGATTCATAGTGTTAATTAATTTTCTAAATGTATATGCTTTTGCAAAGGTTGTGTTTTAGAAAAAAATGTCTGAGAAAACAGCTGTCTTCCCATTTTTCATCTTTCCCTGTTATTTAATGGCACGATGAAAATACGAGTAAGGAAGGAACAGTTTTTTTTTCTATTGTGAAAAATTGCTTAACATCTTTACTTCAAGTCTTTCCAAGAACTTGATTTTTTTTGGTGATATTTTGAAAATGCCTATGACTTTTAAAAGTATTTTATCTCTTAATCACACACAATTTTGGTTTGTAAGAAGATACAAACTTTAAAAACATAGTAGTAGGTTGTATTTTCAGCTCCAGAGGTTTGGCAAACTGGTCCATGTCAAGCTTTTACTGTCAATTTACAATACAGAGTAAGTGTTGATTTAACTGCTTGTAGATGTAAGCACATACAAGGATGAAGGCATCTGACCCAAGATTCTGCATACACCTTTGAAAGCAGGGTTTTTGCCCACAGTTAATAGTTTTACTGAAGGTATTATGTTGTTCCCTTTAATAAAAATCCTTGTGTGAATCTTGGTTTATCTAAAATAACCAGATGCCAGTCATGGGAAAGGAACATGGAAAATCCCTGTTCTGGCAAACTTCTCTGGGGTATCATATGTGCATAACGGTGTATCTAGATTCAAAACATTCCTTGTCATTAAGATACACTGAAGAACAGCAACAACCAAGGGAGGGGGAAACAGGGAAGCTGACTCACAAAATTGTAATCCTGCACAGAGAACTGGAGGATGCATTGAACTATGTGTACTTAACTCTAATTGCTTGTGATCCAAGAAGGTAGTAAGGTTTTGTGGAAGGATACATGTGAGTCTGTTAAATACATGAGTGATGGGTGGTTGTGTAAAATGTTACAAAAAATTAAGATTAGTATAATTATGGGAAGGAACGGAAAAAAACAATAGATGGTGGTGTACTGAGGAGGGAGAGAGAGATGCTGTAAGAAATGATCAGAGAGGGCCAGAAAAAAGTATAACTGATAGTTGAAATCACGCACTGCTGATAACAGACCTATCCATCCGTGAGCAGGAGAAGCCATCCTCCAAGTACGTTGGAGTAGTGGCTTGTCTGATGAACACAAGTGGCACAAAACTGAAGTTTTGCCTGGTACTGGTGCAGCCAAGTTCCGCAGTAGAAATTTCCTGCTCCTCGCAAGATGGCAGTACTGCACCGGCAGCCACTGACAGAAACTTCTTTAATTAGGCTTCTTCGGAGGAAATAGTGATTGATGGCTCTCTCACTAGAAAATTTGAGAGAATGTAATTTTCTTTCAGAGCAGGTTACCAAAGATATCATCCACCCCCGTCCACTGAGCCCCTTGCAGCCAGGCAAATCATTTTGTTCTGTACGAATTTCTTCTTTTCAGCAGAAAGATACTTCAGAGTGCAGTAGACCTCTGTATTGCAGAGGTCTGGTTTCTGTGGAGGGCCAACATGATGGGGCAGCAGATTTCAATAATATACAAACAGAGAATGGGGAGGAACCTGTGGCTGATTGCTAGGAAAACTGGGATAGTTTCTGAAGAAAGGATTAAGGATTTAAGAAGTAGTAGAGTGAGTGGAGGCTAGTTTTGCATACGACATAAAGAGCCACTGTCATTCATGTATGTGGAGTGAGAGGCAGGTTTCAGTTACACCAGGCTGCAGACACTGGGATGGAGCCCATCTGCAACAGGGGCTGTAGTTCTTGCCTCTCCTTGATGATGCCTGCTTGCTGCTCCAGGCACAAGCTGAACAGTATGGTTTCGCTGATACTGCGAATATTCACCACACTGGGTGACATAGCCTGTCCTGTTCCATTTCCCATACCCCCAGCCACATTGCTGTTCTTCATCTGAGTGGGTGTCACAGGAAATTAGAAACACCTCTAAAGAGCCATAGTCAAATCCAGAATCTCTGTCCTGCATGGCTGATTGATAGGTATGTGTCTTAACGCTCCATCACCATCTTATGTGTTTCAAATAGATAATGAAAAACAAGAGCTGGGACAACTGGTGCTGCCAAGTCTACTTCAGTACAGCACCTTATTCATGATGTGTTGGCACATCATTGGCTGGGAACTGTCGTCCTGTGGAGTAGAGCCATGTGAAACCTGGGCTTAGTCACGGGCTCTTGTTCCAGTACTCCAGGCTATAGCCTGTTGACTACCAATCTGTCAGGTCATGATATGAAATGCACAGAAAAAAATCAGAGAACATCACATATTGCATGGTGCTGTTGGATTGTTGGCATTTCAGAAGTCAGGCAGTGTTCCATTAATCAAGAAATCTATAGGGACTGCTGCCATTGCAGAAGACCCACACACAGTCATAAAGACATTTTGCAGTAGTGCAAAACTGGCAGCCATTAGATCAGCAGTCATATCTCCCCCATTCTTGTAATCTTTTGAAAAAGATTTAAGTTATAAGATGTATTTTCTCCACAAATAGTTGGTCCAAAAATAATTAAATCTTAAAAATTTTGGTTGAGGTACTTGACTGAAAAAAATAAGTAACCTAAAAATGAAAATAACTATAACTTGTGCCAATCCAGATGTTTATTGGATAAGTTAAATGTGATTTTTCCATGACAAGAAAGAAAAAGGAACATAGAAGAACAACCAGAAGTGTTTGAAAGAAAGCGAGCATTCTTTCTCGTCTTTATATATAGTGCACTTGGATGAATCAATTTTAATTTTACCATAATGATTTGGGTGTAAAACAATTATCCATTTCAGTTTCATAATCCAGATTACAAAGGAAGCAAATCATACTAGAGGTAGACTACAGAGTTAGCATTTGGAAAGGAGGCTACATCTGCATTAGTCTGCCTGACTGATTCATTTGAACTGGAAAGATTATTGACAAAAAATTCCAAAGTCTTCCAATGTTTTCCCAAATGGAACAGCAAATGCGTTATTTAATGACTTATATCTTTAAAGCTGCTGGATCAAAATAGTTAAATAGTTTAAAAATGATAAAAAATCAGTGCCCTAAGTTCATAGTCTTTAGCTGACTGATTTCCCTGTTTTACCATAGTGCATTTATTTGAGTACACTAGAATTGTACTGATTGTAAATACGTAAACTTTTTTAACCCTGTGATATTAAATTCTTTAACTTGTGACAATTGCTTATTTTTGTTTTGGGAATGAGTGTTCAGCAAAAATCCAGATTTCTACTGTCTTATGTTAATGACAAAAAAATTGTTACGTCCTTGATGATTTTTGGTTTTTGTTTTCCTCTTACTGTTTGACTTTTGAAAAAAGGAAGTGCGTGAATATATGCAGACATGAGCTTTGAAAATCCGAGCACATAAACAGAGCGAGTATAAACCTTTAGCTTTGACACAGCATTTTTTGTTTGAAATAAGGGAAGTCCCAATGTTATCTAATCCTCTTAGTTAACTAAAATGTTTATCAGCTTACTAAAGTTGTTCTTAAACTAGAAGCTTCCACTTCATTCTGGGAATGTTTTTGTAGTAATTTTTTGTTCTAACCAGAAGGCGACTTCTCAGGCTGGTTTGTGACTGTTTTGCCTGGTTTTGTGACTGTTTTGTACCTTTATTTTATGTACACTACCTAGCTGTACAAGTAAATTTTCCATTTACAAATGTCATGTTTATTATTAAGCAGTATAAAGCTTATCAAAATACAAGCTGAATTAGTTGTACTGGTTACCTTCATGTCTGGCACCAGTTCCCATGTCCAGTGTACCTCTTTTCTGAACCACAAGGACAAAACTGCGTGGGTAATTCTGCTTCCTACTCATCAATTTTTATTTATTTATTTTTTTTAATAAAAATCCAAAGTCCATTGTTAATTTGGGTGGTGAAATCTGCAACTGGAAAGGAACCCAATGGGTAACAACATTTAGAATAGACTTGTATTACCCCACAACTTCAAAGTGAAGAAGTTACCAAAGAGATACACTGATGCTTAATAATTCCCAGGGATAATGGCTGCTCAGCTCATATGTGCTCATTTTGTTTTTCCATTTGGAAAAGGATTCTTACATCACAAGTGCTGTAAATGCTAAGCAGGTGATACCCACTCCCATGATCTGATTCTCTTCTTCATTTCTAGTGGAATTTGATTTAGTGTTTACTAGAAAGCATTTTCTTCATTATAAGAAACTGAAGAATAGAGAAGTGTTTAACATTTCATTTTTTTATTCATACTGTTCTCATGTTGTCACATTTTGTTGATCTAACAGAGCCCTTCAGGATCTGGTCATGCTTGATACCATTAATGAGGTTCCCCAACACTTCTGGATTATCATTATGGAGTTTATAGAGGTTGCTGTCCTCTCCTTCACAGTATGTGCAGAGGTCACAGATGCTGTTGCTGGTATCACAGTGGGCTCTGGTTACCCTCTGCTGCAGCCCCTGTGGATGTCAGAAGGATTTCCAGAGAACTAGATGTGCTCTGAGGCATGGTCTAGTAGATACTGATTGGCTACACCATACAGAAAATGGAATTAGTTTCAATGCATGCATTATAGAAACTCAGACTTGTCTATAATGTCAGATTCAGCAAATAAATTCAACTAAAACTGTAAACCAATAACAGAGTAGGGCATGTATTAAGGTTGAGGTAGACAGTGATCATTAAGTCAGTAGGCCAATCAGAGGAACAAAGGTGGAAAGATGAATTTCTGTACAGAAAATAATATATGATTTTCAAATACAGCTAGTAGTTTTGCAGGTGTAAATTCAGTAGTAAATTTGCAGGTAAGTGCATAAATGTTGTTCAGAGCATATGGCAGAGTACAGTAGAACATTCCAGCTATTGTATTCTAAATATAGCTGTGTCTTTTGTTTTGAAAGGTATCCAGCTGTCCTAGTTTCAGTTGGGATAGGGTTAATTTTCTTCCCAGTAGCTGGTGCAATGCTGTGTTTTGGATTCAGTGGGAGAATACCATTGGTAACCCACTGATGCTTGAGCTGTTGCTATGTAGCACTTACTCTGAGCTGAGGACGTTTCAGTTCCCCCTGCTCCCCCAGCGAGGGGGTGCACAAGAAGCTGGGAGGGAGCGTGGCCAGGACAGGTGACCTGAACTAGCCCACGGGCTATTCCATACCATGGAGCGTCAGGCTCAGCGCATGGGCTGGGGGGGGAATTGCTGCTGGGGCATCGGTCAGCGGGTGGTGGGCAGTTGCCCAGTGCATCACTTGTCTTCTCTTGGGTTTTATTTCTCCCTCTTTTTGTTATATTCCTTTTCATTACAATTACAATTATTATTATTATTAATATATTTTGTATTTAATGCCCACGAGCTGTCCCTGGATCCCAGTCTCCTAGTCTGGCATCTAGACACATGAGCCCAGCAGGTCTGCAGCCCCTCCCCCAGTGAGGCTCTCCCCTAGAAACTCCCCAGACCCTATGGTCTCTCCAGCAGCTCTCTGGGACTCCCTTGGTCCCGGCAGTAGGGTCCCACCTCCTCCTGTGATCTTGCCTTCAGAGGTGCCCACCCCTGCCTCCCAGGTCACCGCACATACTTCCCAGCTCATCCAGCTGGATCTTTCCTCATGCACTCATACACCCTCTTGCCCTGGACATTGCACCCAGGGAACACGGGCCTTTGGTCCGAGGAGCTGGCACTTTGTGTCACCCATCTCTCCCCAGCTGCCAGCACCCAGGCACAGAGGCCCTCTGGCCCACGGTCCAGTCCAGCTGCTGCCACCACAGACAAAGGGCCTCTACAGCTTTGCTGGCACTGAAGTCCGCCCACTCCAGTCTCTGGTTGCTGCACCATGGACATACAGGTCCTCCAACGCATGGTATGACTCCAGTTGCTCACACTCAGACTCTTATGTACACTCCCCAACCCCCCCAAGTAGAGTCCCTCACCCATGAAAAGAGTCAGAAAACAATTTAACAAGAAGAGAGGACAGACTGCACAACTGGGCATGGGGCATGGCCAGAAAATTGCATTGGTCAGCAACTATTTATATGCAGCTGGTCTTGTTCATCCACTTACCCCTCTATGTGTCACCCCTGTTCCTCACAAAATCATTCAGATCTATCCCTTTGGAACCTTTGGTTCTTCCCCTGCGCATCTCATAATAAGGCCTGTGCAACATCAAAGCGCTCTTCCCCTGCATCCCATAATGCGTCCCACAGCACACCACCAGGCAGCAGCTCCCTCAGTCTCAAAGGTGCTGTGGTGTTGGCTCATCCAGGTGGGCTTCAAACTGGGGCCTTAGGCTCTCTTGGGAGCCCTTCCTTCGAGTCTTTTATTTGGGTTCCCACCTGCCTTGGGGCCTCTGTGCTCCTCTGTGCTTGCAGAGGTGGGTCTTTTATGGGCCAATATCTCCTATGATGGGCCTGGGAGCAGCATGAGCAGGTTATTATTATTTGGCCTCCCTGCCTGCCATTGCTTGTCGGGGGCATGCAGAGGAGCTGTTACCATATAACCTAACACTCGCAACACCCTCCTTTCTGAGGGGCTCATGTTGTATGATTTTGGAAGATTTGGATCCAAGTCAGTGAATGAAACTGGTCTTTGTCAAGCACGTCCACAGCAACGTGCTGTGTCAACAGAAAACCCGATGGCTTCCAAGTAGGGATCCTGGTGGCTTCTCAACCACCCGTTGGTTTATGGACCATAAAAACATTAACTGTGTATTGTACATGGCGGTACCTGACACTTAGGGCACAGACAGCCATAGGGGTTTGGGTGTCCTTACCCTCCTGCTGTACACACCTCTGCCACATGCATGCTGCCATAGGTTACAGTTCTGATATTGCTTTATATTCCACCTTGTAACTGTACTCACTAGTGAACTGTGCTCACAGTGGCTCCTTGGTTCTTTGGTAGATTAATGCCCTGAGTAATATTCTTATGTTGGGGTTGCTTTCTTTTGGGAAAGTTATGGCAGAAGTCATGTAAGGGTTACATTTCATAATATGAGAAACATCACAGCAAAGAAAGTGTATACCGCAGTATATTGTCAGACTGTATCATCAGGTCATTGAATTGGAGTTTATCCCTCAGCAAGCTCTTTAAGTATCTGGGAACAGAGCTATTTAAATAAAGTTGGATTGCTGTTGTTGGATTGTCGTCTGTGGTGAAGCATCATGTAGCTCCTGGACTTCATGGCCATCCCGGATGCTGTGTAATCCGCCGGATTTCCAGTCCTTTGGTGACAGTGTTCCTGCACCTGAGTAGATTTCCTAACGCAAGCCATCTGTTTGGCGCGTGAAGGGTATTATTTCACCATGAAACAGTGTTTCCTGTTAAGGATTAAAAAAAAAAAAAAAAAAAAAAAAAAGCAAGCAAAAAGCAAAAGAAAGCAAGCAGCCACGCTGCGTGGGGCGCGTGCCGTGCCGTTCCCGCCGGCTACCCCTTCCCCTGGAAAGGAACAAACGGGGAGCGGCGGTGGCAGCCGGTTTCGGTTTCGTTTCCTGAGAACCGGCGGCTTTCAGAATGGCAAACCTGCACCCCTCCGGCTAAGCCGCCGGGACACCGCTCTGGGAGCACGGCGCCGGGGCTTTTCGAGACGGCTTTCCGCGGCGAACCCGCGGTAGAGCCAGGTCGGGAAGGCCCGGGCCGGGGTCTGAGGCACCGGGTCCAACCGGGGAGGGGCGGGGTGAGCCGCTCCGCAGAGCCCCCGCCGGGGGAGGCGTCCCGCAGCGCCCCGAGGCTCTGCGGGGTAAGGGGGGAGCTGGGCCGGGGGGCGGCCGGGCGGGTCTGCCCCGCACCACCCGCCCGGGCCCGCGGCCTGCGGGGGTGGGAGCCGGTGTGTGCCCGCGCCCCCGGCACCCCCTTCGCCCGGGACGGCGGGAGGCGGCTGGCCCGGGAGCTCAACCCGGGGGCGCGGCCCGGGGCTCAGCCCGGCGCTGCGCAGCCCTCGTTCCGCCGGGGCAGCAGCCGCAGCCCTCCCGGGTGCCTTCGCCCTGAAGGCTGCTGCGGCCGTATGTTTTGGGTGGGAGTACCCAAAGGCGGGCAAGACTGAGGTATTTGTCTGGAAGGTCTGTTGCAGAACAGAGGTGAAACAAACAGGCAAGCAAGAAAACACCAACCGCATTATGTAACGATGCTGTAAAACGTGTGTGTATATTTATAAAACAGCAACAAAAACCCCCTTCAAAACCAAAAAGAAAAAAACCCCAGCCCTGTCCTGGTCCTTTATTTGCTACTGAATACTTACATGGAAAAAGCAACCCTGTGACCTCAAGGCAAACAGTGAAAAAGAAGAAACTAAATTAATGACACTGAAAGCTAGTTACATCAATGGCTTCTGTGGTTTAACATTAAGTATTTTACAGATATTGTTTAAGTTTCTTTTGTTGCTTTTTTTTTTTTTTTTTTTTCTGAGAAAATATCATTAAACGTGTTTTTAAGGACAGAAGAAATCAGTGGAAATTAACCTTCAGCAGTCTCACCTATTGTGGAAATCCACCCCCTCAACCTCCTGTGGTAGTTTCAGGTTATTAGAACCTAAATGTTACATTCAGCTATTTCATATACCACTGTTTCCATGTTCCTCCCACACGTCAAGTAAAAAGGTTAACTCTTGCCAGTTATGTGTTTTTGCTTCCATGACAGATACCGTGAGTAGCCTGTCAAGCGGAAAGAAGAAAATATTTCTTGAAAATTTCTAAGTGGTTGTTTCATGATATTTTAACTCTTCTGAGAATCTCAGTCCTTTTGTGATATATGCAAAGACAACATAGGTGGATGAACTTTCACTGAAACATATATTTAGAGTTATATTTTGTGCTGTTGACCAGGTTATCCCACTACGGTCCGCAAGTTAATGTGAGTACATCCTTCAGATTTTTTTTTTTTTTCTTCCCCCTGTATTCTTGAATGACTTCTAAAATCGAGAAAAAGATAATGCTCTTTATTTTTTGCTAAGCTAATGCATGGGCTTAACAACTCTTCTTGCACTACACACTAGCAAGGCAAGGGGCCTTCATTATGCTCATATCTTGGGGAGAGAATATCTGTTCTTACTGGAGGAGGGTAGGCAGTGCTCTTCCCATTACTCTTATGACCTTTGCAGACAAAAGTAAGTTGTGTAGAAATTTCTAGTCATTGTTAGCAGCTGTTCGGCACTGCTTGAGATTAATACTGTAGGGATGCTAAGTTTATGTGGATGGATGACTTCTTGCTACCGGTGTTCCAAGGACTGTTGCTCACATATGGCTTTGATCAGATGACATGTTTCTTAAAATGCCTGTGTCATTTTATGTACTAATTTTCCCAACATTTTTGTCTCTGGTTACAGTGAACCACTGTTAGCAATAGAGAATTTTCCCTAGTGGGGAATTTTCCAGTAATGGGGAAGTGTCCTCAAGAGTTACATCAACATTTAAGTTCTGTCACAAGAAGTCTTTGGGCAAATAGTTCTGTTTTTCCTGTCATCTTCATTTGATTGTGAGGGAAACATACAGCAACAATAATGAAGAGCACTTTACACAGTGAATATTGTTTTGCTTTTATAAAAAGGTGTTTGCCATAGATGTCAGAAGCCAGTAGGAGAAGAGAAGGGGCACTGTGGTAGGTTCTGTAAGAAAAGTAATGAGAAGATTGCAGCTTTGGTAAAGATCTTTGATTGGCATCTAGGTCTCAAGCTACTTCAACCGATCCAGCCAGGGGATCCTTCTGCTCAAGGTGAAACAGGAGAAAGGTCTGCAAATAGTTATTGCTTTTTTTTTTGTTTTGTTTTGGTTTTTTTTTTATTTTCATGCTCATCTGGATTTGACCTGGATCTACTTTTTTTCTGTCTGAAAGTGAAAAATTGAGTACAGCATCAGACTATCTCAGTCTTGAGGAGTTTTGTAAGTAGTCATTCTTCTTTTGTGTGTAGTAAGGTTTATTTTCCTCTACAGTGGGAGAAAGCATGCAAATTAAAGTTCAGCAACTGCAGGATAGAAGCATGGGTCTTAGCATCCTTGTTGTCATTTGTCTTCTAGGAGTTAGTCAGAACACCTCTCCGGGAGTTCATACCAACGTTCAGATTTCTTGACAAAAAAGTGGGCAGGGGTTGCATGCGTGGGTATGGGTGCCTTTCTGTGACTGTAGTGCATATGCTATTTGTTCTGAGCAGTTTCTCATCTATAGCTTCTACTTTAAAAAAAGTAGAAGGTATTTTGGGGCTGAGTGTGCTACAACTCAGGTCATTCTGACACGGGGAGTGCAGAGAGGTGCACAGCTATACCCTTCAGTCTCAGTGCCTCGCTCTTCTGCAGGCTTCCCTCTAGAGTGTGACCAGAATAAACTTGTGAGATTGGTATGCCTCTGTCTGGTTTGAAAAGCTTTACCCTGGAGCTCAGCTGGTGCTCCGGACTGCCTGTTACTTGGGCAGTGGCATCATGATGGAGGCACACTCATGCATACACATCACCAGAAACTCAGGTACCCATAGGAGTAGGCAGCAGTTTGTTAGTGCTTTTAAGAACATCACTTGCGGCTAAGGGATTAATTTGGTACCTAACCACATTAAGAAGCCTGGGATTTATTTATCAATGAAACAGATCCTCAGAGTGAAAGATCTTACTTGTGTTTTCCTGTCCCTGTTAGCAGAACATCCTTTTTGTAATTGCTTATGCCTGCCTAACAATGTATGAGATTGACTCCTTCTCAGCTCCCCTCTGTGTTGCCTTCTGTAAACCTGCTATTGAGATCAGGCAGCAGCAATCAGAGGAAGAAAGTAACTTGAATCAAATTCTTATGAGGAGTCCAGCTCCCTTAAGCCACAACGTGTCTTATGATTCAGGACAGTATTGTTACTTTATTATCATCTTAAAGTTGACAAGCAGAAAGACAAAATATCTTGCCAGAAATGCTGAGAGTTGCAGTCCAGATAGAATTTAATCAGTCAGGAAACATAACGGGTATTATAGTTCCCTAATTTCTTATGCAAATGCTGAAACTACCACTAGAAAACAGTTGAAGGCATTATTTCCTTACTTTTGTGGCTGTTCAAGTATCCAAAATGAGGACTTTATTTAGATAAAAATCTACAGCTCTCTCTACTCACAGAAGACTTCCATTACAATGGGTTTGAATTTTTCCTGGCAGTAATTTGAAAATTGATACTAGTATTGCTCTGACTTAAAATACAGACTTAGCAAGTACAGTGGATGTGTGAAGGTTAAGTGTATGAATTGACATTAATCAGTTTTATTATGTTAAATTGTTGTGTAGGAGTATAAAAGCTATGTCAATATGGAGGGGAAAAATTTCTGACAGAAAATTTAAGTAATTTACATGTTCAGAGGTAAAGCAACAGAAATTAAAGAAAATAGATTTTGTTTGTAGGCTGACTGTTTTTGTTGCTGTTTTACAAAGACACTATTGTGTAAATACTCATTAAGTGATTAATTACTGCATGAACTCTGTTCACAATGTATGTGTCTTCACGAGTCCCATGATAAGTACTGGGAGGCCAGGTGTTACAAAACACATTATGTTCACAGTATGTTGAAATAAGGCAAACAGGTGGGGGAGAACTAAGTTCTATTTCTTCCACTGAATGCATATAGAAAACTCCTCCATTCTCCTCCTAGCAGGAGCAACACTCCCTGCTGCAGTTTGGGAGAACAATAGGGTATTTGTGAGTATTTATTTACAAATTCAGAGATAGAGATAAAGCATGTATTTTGCCATAACCAAGGACAAATGTTTAAAGCAAATAAAATTAGATGTTCTTCCTGAACTCATGTAGGACGTTTTCTGCCTGATCATCTACTGTAGTTAAAGGTGCAATTTTGTCGTGTTTTCAGATAGAGTGGAATTCAGTGCCTTCTGTCTGGTTCTTCATGTGGAGTGACTACAAAGTCTATTTTACAGTGCAAGTTAGAAAATTATCAGGTACTTACATTTGTCTATTACTTTATCATTTTAGGTTCTGTCTACATCATGGAAAAGCCTTTTCTTCTGTATGTATTTTTATTCTACTGGCATTTCATAAATGGTAAGAAGCTCAGTTGTGAGAAGCAGTAAAACAGTTTAAGTATGTTCCCTTGCCATGTATAAGCATAGAAATGTTAATTCCTCAGTTTTCCTTCAGGTGCTATCATTTGGGTTTTTTTTCCTTAACGTTTTAAATAAAAAGGTGTTAGCATGCTTTTACATTAAACTAGATATGTGTGCTTGGATGTGGGGCCAGGTTGAAATCCGTCTTGGTGTTTCAGCATAGACACCATTTCAGGCAAGGTACCATTTGCATTACACAAAAAGTTTTATTGGCACCGTCAAACCTGGGAATTGTCCTGTATTCTTTAACACTGTGTAAAAACAATTTACATTTATCTAGAAAGAACATTCCCATCCGAGCCACTAACAATTGCCTGTTACTGTGGCAGTGTTCTGAAAGCAACAGCTGTGCACACACGTTTGCCTGTTTTTAGTACAGCGTCACACTGCATGCATGCACAAAGCAGGTGTCTGCAGGTATAAATAGCCCAGTTTGTCCCAAAGTTGGGCAAGAGCATGCAAAAATGTTTTAACTTTTCTGAACAGGCCAGATACTTTTGGTCCTTAAAATGTTCTGTGGATATGGTAAGAGATGACTTCGAAGCTTAGGCTTATAATTGGAAAATTAAGTTTTCTTCTAAATTTTGTTTTTTCAGCTTTATTCACAGTTGAAGCTCCCCAGTCACTCTACACTGTGGAACATGGGAACAATGTGACCATGGAATGCACATTTCCAGTGAATGGGAAATTAAAGTTCAGAGATCTAAGTGTCAGCTGGGAAAAGAAAGATGAGTTAAAGAAGCAGGTTTATGTACTTCTTAAAGGAGAGGAAGATTTCAAAAGTCAGCACAGTGACTTCAGGGGAAGAATAAAACTGTTGAAAGAGAATCTGAACTTGGGACGATCTCTGCTTCACATCACTGATGTGAAGCTCAGAGATGCAGGGTTTTACCGCTGTCTTATTGGCTACGGGGGAGCTGACTACAAGACAATCAATCTGAAAGTTAAAGGTGAGTGCGCTACTGCAGGAAGTGCAGTGCTATCTGATACTGTTAAAAGATTTCAGAGAAGCCCCTGAAGTAAGACGTGTCTGGGTTAGCATTTAAGGAAACCTCTCCAGAGACAGGAGCTGCCTCATGGCCCTTGCACAGCTGTATAACTGTGTTTCTGTCTAAGTTGAAACCATGTTCTGTCCTTTGTTTCCCATAATGACATATGAAGAATGGTGCTGCAAAACTGTTTAGACAGGAAAAAGACCAGAAAGCTAATACAATTTTCTAAACAGTGTCAACGTTGTAATAAATCCTGTACCTCTGGTTACTATGGAGAGACACAATAGTGATATTTACTTTTCCTGTCAAGATCATTATCTATAAAATCCAAGCTGATGTACAGAAACTTGACCCAGGAGCAGGGGATAAAGGAAGATGTCTTGCTAATATAGGCCGTTCTTCTAGCTTCCTACTAGTAATCATTTTATTCCATTTGTTTAGCTCCTTATAGAACTATAACCCATGGAGTGGTGAGCACAGGAGACGGTGAATGGAAGTTGACATGTCAGTCAGAAGGATACCCACAAGCTGAAGTGATATGGCAAAACAGACAATATGAAGATTTGACTGATAAGGCAAACACAAGTTATGAAACTGGAAGTGACCAGCTGTATCGTGTGACAAGTACTCTTACAATCAAAAGTAGAATTGATGAAACTTTTTACTGTATATTCTGGAATAAAGAGCTGCAAGAAAATACATCTGCCACTTTACACATAGCGGGTAAGATTTCTAAATGTCATTTATGGTAATACACTTCAAGATACTATGTCATTTTGTCCCCATTGAATCAGCCATGATTTGTTTCTCTTTCCAGTCTAATTTTGAAAAGGCTAAAAATTTAAGTTTTGTGTTGTTAGGTTTTGCTATTAGTGTACGCTTGCAGTGTAATAACATGTTCATCATGCATGTATGGACAGAATTCAAGGATAGGAATTTTGCATGACCTACAGCTATATGAAAGTCGAGTTTGAGAGTTAGAAAAAGTTCCATTATTTGACAAGCACATAGCTTGGAGCCTAGAAATGAAATCCTCCCATATGAATGAAACACATCTTCCAATAATGTTCTGCTTTGCTGATGATAACTGTCAAATGAATTTGAGCAGTATGGTCTTTTCCTGCCACTACAAACTTTGATTTGAGCACATTTAAATTTAACAAATTGTACACAGATTTTTTTTTTTTTCTCATGAAGTCTGGATTGAAGGAAGATGCATGAATAGAGAAGACCAATACAATTTTTCATTAGACCTTTTAACTGGACACCACCCCTGCTGCTTTTTTTTTTTGGTTATTCTTTTAATTTCTGCATTGTACCCTGATATGTTTGCACAAGCTTTCAACCAGACTGGAGATCTGATCCAACTCAAAAATAGTATTTCTGTTTATCAGAGTGTTACTTGGTCAGGTCATTTCCCTGGTCCTGTTCACCATGCGGTTTTAAAAACGCCTGTGCTGGCAGACTTTTTGAGACTGACAAGGGGTGGAAACAGGCAGCTGAGAGTGAGAAAGCCAAGTCATCCTTTCAATGAGTGGTGAGTGGGCAAGTTTGGTTTTAACAAGAAATGCCTATGGGATTCAAGGAGGTCACTTATCCTTTGCATTCAGAGGTTTAACAGATGAAAGGGACTCTGTTCTCTTTCTCAGTCACGTCTTTCTTGTAGCCTAGATGGGAAACTAAGCTAGATGTAACACTTTGTACCTTGGTGGCAAACAGGATTTGTGATGGGAATCAAAGCCACTATCATATGGAATGCAGGAAGCAAAGATAAATATGAATACATTCTATCTTTTTTTCCTTTATTGGGATGAGATACAGTGAAGTGCACTATCAGTGCCTGACCTTAGGCACAATCTGAAAAGCTGTTACCATGTGTGAACTGGTCATAACAGAAATAACATGGTGAAAATGAAAGGAAAAGGGAGAAGCTTATATAATTATGTAATGTCTTTCCCCCGCTTGTTTTTCTCCAAGATTCAGCTGGTGATGTTCTGTGGACTGAGAGCAGACGCTTTGTTGGAGCAATTCTCATTGTGACTGCTTTGTTTGGATCAGTGCTTCTATTTATGCTCTGCGTAAGAAAAGGTATTTCAATGATTTATCTTAGTGTACCTCAGTTATTATCAATCTGTTAATTCATCCTTGCAGAGGTGAAATGAGATGATAAAAGACTGCCTTAGATCTTTCATCCTGAAACCATTAGATTTTTTACCACATTTTTTATTTCTTCTTATTTGTCTGACTTAGTTGAATACTAGCAAGTTAGCAGAGTGGAACAGATTGTCAGCCCCTCACAAACCACTTACCCATGCGTGTCAATTAGTTTTTCTTATACATAATGATGCAGAGCAGTAAGATTAGTGTTCAATCTATGCAAACATCAAAGCACAGCTTATATACCTACTGGAAATGGAAGTTTCCTATTCTGTGTCTTCCCTTTTGGTTGGAGACCAGAATGCTGGGAGCAGACAGAGCACTGGAGTTTTTTTAGGGTTTTTTCCTCCTGCATTCTGTGAAAAATTTCACGGAACTGTGAGCACATGTTTTTTAAAGTGATCTAATTGTTATGAATTCTACATGCATCTTTATTTTGGTTAAAGCACCAAAAAAGCAGTGGACTACTTATGAAGTGATATGACCAAGGGTTTGAGCCTGAAAGATTTTTTTTTTTTTTTAACAAGAGGGAATATTCCCATTGTGGCTTCATACCACTTCATTCATTTCCTTGTTAAGTGTTGAGCTTTTTCAGTTTACTTCACTGACTTGGACATTTTCAGCATCACAGAATGCTGAGGAGCTAAAGCATTTGTGGTAATTTGTTTTCACTTGCTAGCTAAACAAAGAAAAAACTCAGAGAAATCATTTTTAGGGTATCTGAGCATGAAAAGAATATGGTTTGCCCCAAAATTGAAGAAAAAATGTTTGAAACATGTTGCTTAACCTGAAGTAAGTACTGTTACATTTTTTTTGGTTGGTTGGTTGGCTGTATTCTTTTTTTTTTTTGTTGGAGGGGACATAGGTGTGTTTGAGGATTTTATATTCAGGGGTATTTGTTACTCTTCATTTTAACAGGTACAATAAAGTCATGCAGATCTCAGAACATCCATAAAACTCATTTGAAAATGTTAAAATGAAAGTGGTTTTGCTGAACATTCTGGTTTTGGCCAGAACTCTTCCTCTGTATAACAAACTTGTGGATTTTTTTAGCTGGTGTGTCGCCACTTCTTTTTTTCCAAATAACATTTTGAATTTTTTTTTTTTTTTTGTCAAGTTGTCTGCAGGGAAAAAGTACAAGAGGAATTGAAGCTGATACAGTACTCTGAGCTTTATAATATCATACTGACATGGCTCTGTAAATTATTACCAGAAATGCTTGAAAAACCTGAACAAGACAGTTGACTGAAGGCTCCTCTCAAAATTCTTGAATTTTATCGGAGATGTAAATGTGTGTAGCTAGCATGAAACTCAGCTGAGATTAATGCAAAGGCTAGTTGTACTGTCTTTCCAAGTGGTATCTCAAAAGCTTACACACTAAGAGAGGTGTACTTTATGAAGTGGTATGGCAGACCTGTTGGTTTTCCTGTCTGCCAGCTCTATTTTCCACAGTGAAAACCAGAAACAGCCCTAATTTCTATGTGGAAATTTCACAAAACCATCTATAAGCAAATGCCACGTTAAGCGTTCATGTTCTAGTTCCACAAAATAAATACGAGACAGAACTAAATGTTGATATTCAGTGTTTTGGTCACAAACTCATGTCCTGCAATGGTACTAGGGAAACATGTCCTGGGAGAAGTTTTCGTAAGCCTAACAGGCTTGCACGTGATGCTGACAGGCTGCAGAAGGCCTGCAGATAACCCTGCATGTATAAGAATGTATTTATCCTAAGAACATGATAGGAATAGGAGCAGAACATGAAAGTGGAAGAAGGGACAGCAAAATCCTTGACTTCTCAGAAGATTCCCATCTGGGGATTTCTGTGAAGGTCAGAAGTTTCCTAGGTTGCTTGAGTAATATTTATTGTTTGTGTGTATACATGATAATGTGTATATGTCATGATGTATGTGATTATTATGATTATGTTATATATATATGTGCATGTGTGGCATAAGCTACAAGTTAATTCAGAATCTAGAGTAGTAGCAACAGGTTTTTCTTTTAAAACCCAAGCTGTCCTAGATGATCAGAAAGTGATTATTTCAGAAAAGAACCTCCCTGGAATATTGGCTTTTTTCCCATCAAAAAGCACTTAGAAGGTGATCTCCTTCTTGTTCCCTCTTGTTCCCAGTGTGTTCAAGTTCTGGGTGAAAATGTACAATGGAAAACCATTTGAACAAGTATTTTCCAGTGATGTTAGTGTATGGTATCAGTACAGTTCTGGCTTAGGAACAAGGAAAGGAAATTGGAAGGGAAACTGACATACTGAGGGAACTGAAGAGGATATTTTAAAGTCTTTGAAGAAATGGGGTGTTTTGAGAACCAATGATTACATTGTGCTAAGTATGCCCTTCTCACCAGCGTGCTTATGCCTCCGTTAGATCTGAAATAAGTATTTTGGTTTCTTTTTGATTTTTCTCTCTTATTTTCTTTCAGCTAGAGCAAATAAGGACAACAGAACACTTGTGATTAGTTCATCAATAGCAAGTATGTACATATGGCATAAATCTATCTCAGTGTGATTCTTGTGGAAATAATTTATTGAGAATTTCCTTTGTAACAGTGACAAGCAAATGCAGATTTCCATTCAACTTTAATTTTGCTTTCTGCTTTTCATTTATGTAACAACTATGAATTACAATTGAAGAATGACTTTTCATTACTGTATCAGTTTCCTGAAAGGAAAATGTGAAAGAAAAGTATACTTGTCCCAGAAGCAGATGCAGTCCTGATGTGCACAAGAAAAGGACAGAGTGTTGTTCTGTGTTTTGGAAAGTCTATGTTAGGATGGGACATGCTCCCTGGAACATATGCTTCAGGATGGCAGGACATCCTGGTGTGCAGACTCGGTGCTGCAATTTGAACCGTGTTGGCATGATCTTGTATTTTCTCCAGTATTGCAGTGTGCATTTGAGGGTCTTCCTCACAACATTGAGGACACAGGGTTTGGCCCCATTAAGAGAAATGCAGGAAGAAGCTTTATCTTCCCTAAAAGTTTCTTTTTCCTCCTGTTGAGATACTGATGCTATTTGCTATGAGCTAACCTCAGTAAATGGTCATGTACCACCATGACAGTGGGAAATGAAGGAAGGAGTGGAGAGACTTAATACTTACAGTGAGACAGAAGAGATTCAAATCCTTCAGCCTCCTCTCATGATGGCTCATGTTTGTTCTTTTTTAAATCTGTTGTGTGGTTTTACTTGGAGACCACTTCAAATTAGACTGTTGTGTGAAAGTTAGGTCATACTGGCAGTTGGGGTTTTTCATGAGAAAACCTATCGAGACTACTCGCCTGAAAACACACAACATTTAGTATTAATTTCTTCTCCTGATATGCATTTAAGTTACATAGTTCCTGGACAGCCTGAGATAGCAATGTTTAACAAAGATTTATCACTACATGAAAAGTTTAAGCTATGCTGTTATCTGTATGTATGTTTTTTCTTTAAAGAGCTATCAAAAGATAAGGATACACATGACTGCAGAGATGCTTCTTTGGAAGATAAAGAGTTGAAATGTAAGTATAAATGATAAAGGCAAAAATAGTAGCAAATTGCACACAGCATAAATCATCTGTGGTTATCAGAGCTGTAATTCATGGCTGGTTTATTTAGTCCCTTGTTTCGACAGACAGAGCCTTCAAGAGAAGCACAGCCTCCCATTCTATCTTACAAACTCACCATCATAACTCACTGTCATAACCCATTGTGTAGTGGGAGTTCTATCAGATAATTAATCTGGTTTTAAAAATAAAAATGAGAAGGAAAATGTGATAAGGAGATGTATAACAAGCCAGATTAGTCTTTTCTCTAGCTCACACTTCCATTAGAGAAACAGTTGTGCCAGCACAACTGCAGGAATGGTGATGGCAACGGGGAGGGAGACCTTAACCCATCACGGCCACTTAAGGAAGTTTCAACCCGTGAGATTCTGTCTCAGCAAAGCAAGGAAATAAATGACCAAATCTCTGAAATCTCTGGAACATACTGTGGGGTGGAACAGAACACTAAAGCTATTGAAGGTTTTCTTTCACATTATTCTTGACTTCTGAAGCACTTACTTATATTAATTACATCCCAAATCCCTCCCTGCTACACTTTACCATAGTAAACATAAGCAAAGGTAAGCCTGCTGGTCCTGAAGGTGTAGATCTCCAAGTCAAAAAGCTAGGGCCTGGCGGTATGCTGCTAGAATACTGAAAGATAGCACACTGAATGTATTTGAAAGACTTTAAAATAAGATTTTAAAAGGTTGGGGGACCTAAGCCACAGCAATTTCACTGTATTTTCTAGAGAGCACTTCCCACCAGTATGTTTGAACTAATGCATTATTTTCTTCCATGATCTTCATTTTCTGTTTGACCTTTTAATTAATTTAATTTTAGATTTTTATTTTGACAATTAAGGAAAATTTTTTGGTACCTCCAAACTCTAGGAAAGAGTCCCAAATTCATGAAATGTTATGTGACTTAATAATCTTGTAATTTGATCATTTTTTCATATAATTCTTCCTTTTACAGATATGCAAATTGAGAAGACCTAAAGAAAGCAGGGGAAGCTTTTTTCTTCTGTGGTGAAGGTTTGACAGCTCAGACATTCTGTGTTCTGTCTATTAAAGGGGATATTAATTTTTTGTTCTTATCTGGCATGGCAGCCTTCTTCTATATTATTGTAACTCTGTAAAAACTGCAATGAATTTAACAGATTTATTATCGCATAAACAGTCCTTGGATTCAGGCTTCTGTATATGTGACTAGGTACAGAGGTATTTATTTAAATATCCAAGTTTCTGCTTTCTCAAGTTTATGCACTTTCCAAGACAAAATATCTTTAAGGTAAAGCACTTTAGGTCTATGACCATCATGAATTTCATAGCTAGTTCTTGAATAGGCCATCTTCGGGGTTTGTTTGTTTGTGTTTTTGTTTTGGTTTTTTTTTGTTTGTTTGTTTTGTTTTGTTTTGTTGTTTTTTTGTTGTTGTTTTTGTTTTGTTTTGTTTTTTTTTCCCTTCCTTTCTTTTTTCTGTCCTCCTCAGTTGAGCTCTCTGTTTCCTGCAAAGCTTTTGTTTTCCAGCTTTTGAAGAATTTTTTTATACTTTGATCCTCATAAGAGTGTAACAAGACAATATGCCATACAGGCAAGGCATTTTCTGTAGATCTTAAAAAAACAGATACTCACAGCTAAGCCTGAAATAAACGTAACCATCTTGGCAACCGTAGTTTGGAAATTATTAGATAATATGGAGCTTCTTGATCTCTTTCTCTGAAAAGTGTTTGTGGGATTTAATTTCCTTGTGATATAGTTGGCACTAGTTGGTTACTGCCCATTACTGTTCTGATGTACAATTTGGGGATAATGCAACTCTTCAGACATTCAGGAAGAACAGCTCTTGATTTGCACTGCCTTTTTGTTCATCTTGGGAATAGAAGAAAGAGAACCTTCTCACTTCTAGGATATGAAATACATGCTCCTGTGACTACTTAAGAAATGCTGAGGGAACATGCTCCTGGATCCCATTTCTTAAGCTATTGCTTTGTAACATTTTGCTAGGTGCATAGGTTTTTTGGGGGTTCTACACAGATGAAAATTATTTATTACAATGCTATTCACAATTATTTTTTTTTTAATAAAATGTTTTGTTTTTCTTGTGTTTTTTTCCTGCTGTTTTTGTCTTGTCAATAAGTAGTGCTGAACAGCACTGTTTCCCTACTTGTCCTTTTTCTGGGGAAATTAGGTATCCAAGACTAATGGCTCCCACAGAGAAGAGACAGTGGAGAGCTGGAATCTCATTGGCCTCAGGTTTTATTTTTCAGTTTAAAATAAATGAATCTGTTGTGCAGTCCTAATAACATGAATGTGGCCCTCTGCCCAGGGCTTTGCTGCTGGCAATATTCAATCTAGCTAATGTAAAGTTGTGCTTAATACGTCTCAGCAAGCTGCCTTATATAGTAGGATAGAGAAATGTGTCTCATAACCATAATGGAGTTGGTATAGGTCAGTTAAGTAAAATAGTCACTATAAAGTGATTTCCCTAACTCATTGCAGAGCTTGCATATCCTGATACTGATTCTTGCTGTTTGATTCTTCAAGGATGCTTTGTGAACTTGAACGTCCCCTCCTGTTTCCCAACATGCTTTTTGAGGCCACAGTCCAGGTGCCACTGAATTTGATGGCCAATTTTTAGTTATTCCCAGAGTGCAAGAATAGCTTTGGAAATATTGGGGCCACTTGTAGAAGAAGCACTGACTCTCCTCAACACACTAATGTAGTTTCATATCACCACATAAATATTTCCCCTTCCAGACAACCTCTTCATTTTCTGCTTCCTCTTTGAGACTGCAACAGCTGTTTGCATATTAAAGTAAAAGTGAAAAGTCTACTTCCTTTAGTTATTACCAGCCTTTGCAAGGCAGTGCTGTTAGTGCATACTTTGTATGATGAAACTGAAGCTGATGTCTTTATCAAGCTCCACCGGACAGCAGGAACTGTTACATTTATCTTTTCCCAGCAGGAGAAAAGGTTACTGTTGACAGTGCTGTGTATCAGATGAGTAAGATAATGAAATGAAGGGATATAAATATATTTTTTCAATTCTGTAGCTGAACTCTACTGTCCAAAATGCCAGTGCTTGAATTCCTGAGTGGTTGATAGCAAGCTTGAAATTTTGCTACTTCATTAGAAAAGCAGGATATCTGGTGAATAACAGATGATGTGAAAAGACCTGTCCTCCCTAAATAATGTTTCGTATTTTTCTGACAACCAAACCAGAAGTTGTCTAATCAAATTTTAGTAATTTTACAAATTAGGCTTTTAGGATAAGCTAAGTCTCTCAGCTTCATTTGTATGAATACGTGTGGACAGGCCACCATGCTTATCCTCCAATGCCATGAGTTGTTTTAGCACAATTACTTTCCACTCATGACAGAGGGACAATACACACCTAACTGAAAATACAACACATTTAGGTAATGAGAATTAGATAAGAGGAAATCCTTCCTATCCTAACATAAAAAATGTAGTTAAATGCCATATTTATAAAAATATTTTTTCCTTTAGTTGACAGTTTTTGTATTGGTACTTCACTGGGTTTGGAAAATGAAATTCAGCAGGAAGTGGGAGTGGACTCAGCTTCAGTAAGCTGCATTTTGCTTCCTAATGGCCAAGCATTGTTAGATGCCCAAAAGTGCTCAGAAAACCCTGGTTCATGTGCACAATCTAAATTGGCTTATTGCTGTTTGAGTTCAGGACTTATTAATTTGAAAAAGGTAATTATGAACCAGTCTGGTGGCCTGTTTTGTGATGTGGCATTTAACTTTGTAGAATATGAATGCTATTACTAATAACAATTACATTAAAGAATAACTAATAATAAGAAATATAGAATAATTGCTATTGACCTGCATGTCTTTTCATGGAACAGTATGCAGGATATGTGTCCCTTTTTGCTTTTGGCCAGAAAAATAACATCAGTGTCCTAGAGTGACCAGTACCAACGGTGCATCAATCCAAGTATGGGCTAACCAGCAAAATGGCACAGATGCTAACTGTGGAATTTCTGCTTTTGCTGATGTTAACAGTGGGACTTCTGGTTTTGCTGCATCTTCTCCCTGATTCCCTGTCTCCTTCTCCATATTTCTCTGGTCTTGCAATCTAGGTGATTGTCCCAGCCAAGTCCCTGGCAGCTACTGCTGGGTTCATGAGATGCTCAGAGCAAGTCACTGACTCTTGGACAACTGCACTGAGCTTTCTGTCTTCCTGTCCCAAAACCGGAACATATGAAGAAAACCTACCGTAGCCAGAGCTGGCCCAGAATGAATAAAAGATGGTGATGGTGACTGTGAAATAACTTGGGGTACCTTTTCTGTCAGGTGGGAAGAGGACAAGGAACATTTTTGCTTTCCTTCCAGAAGTCTCAATACCTGGAGGGAAACTAGACACCTAGATGCAGGGGAGCTAGAGATTCCTCAACAAACAAGTGAGGAAGTTGTGAATGGGGTAGGCAAGCCCAGGGGTAATCAGAAGAGAAGGAACATAACAATTAACAAAATGAGGCTTCCCTGAGGATTTTATACAGGTAGAGAGTCTCCCTTGGTAGGACACTGGTATTAGGCAAGGGCATTTACTGGGAATCACCATGACTCCAGCTGGGACATCCATCTTTTACAATGTCTCTTGCAGAGGGTTATCTCCTGCCTTTCCCACCTCAAAATGCCCATGGGCTCTGCGTGACTTGCACATCATTCATATTTTTCTGCCTTTTTCTTCATTTTACTGTTAATAAATAATTTAAAAAATGTTATTGCTTGCAAGGTGTGTTTGCATAAATACTTCTCCCTAAATAGGTCATTTGTCTTAGTGTGGAAGTCCACAGAGCAAACAAGGCCTTTGAGAGTTGGTGGCAGGTGGAGGAGGATAAAGATGGAGTTAAGAGAAACAGTAGGCATAGGCACCCGTCAGGAGGAAGTGCCTTAGGAAGATTTAATTCTCCCATTCTCACATACTTACAAAAAAAGCACAGATCTCAGTTTGCTGCCATCTTTCTCCCTTTGCTTTTACTGAAAGTGTTAGGACATCAGGCAAACTTGATTTTAATTGCAAATCATAGATCAAGCTCAACTCTGGCCCTATGGACTTTTCTCTCTCTTTCAAGTGTCCAGTCATCCAAGCCACTGACTTCTGACAGCTGCCAAAGAGGTCACTGGAGTTTACTGGAAAAAGGTCAGGCTACCCAGGAATTACTTTTTGTGATAGGGCTACACAGGGTAAGTTTACTGAGGAAATAAAAATACAAATTAAAAAAAAAAAAAAGTAGTGTAACAGTGGTTTAGATGGATTGCTGTGCACCAGGCAGCAGGAGACAGGATTTCATGGTCTGAGTCAGTCACAAAATCATCATACATTGTCCCAAGTCAGCCAGGATTAATGGGACTAAAGCCACAACCATTATTTATGTGGAGCTAGAGCATAATTCTCACAAGTGGTGAGGAACTAACTGTAGACAAGAGAGTATGTGTGTCCCACCTGTAGCACCAATGCATCGGAGAAACCTGGGAAAAGACCACCGCATCCTCTTTTATGTCTCTCACTCATGGTATGGTCATAAACTAAAAGATAGAGTGATGAACTGCAGTATGGAAGTAAATAGTACCCAGTAACAGTAAAAGGTACAGAGACATTCACTGGTAAGGTTGTTTAATAGAATAGAATACTTTATGTTGGAAAGGAGCTCTGGAAGTCACCTAGTCCAACCTTCCACTCAAAGCAGTGCCAACTTAAATCCAATTGCCAAGGCTCTGTCCTGTCAAGCATGGTATATTTGCAAGGATGGAGATTCACAACCTTGCTGGGCAACAATGTTCAACTACCCTTATTGTGATTTTTTTTTTTTTTTTGTTAAATAATATGGATATAGATGAAAATGCACAGGAAATATATTCTGCAAATGTTAGGTAATCTCACGAGGAATTAATGTAAACTTGATCTGATGAAGATGAAGAAAATGTAACTTGATAGTTTAATGAATGCAGAACAGTACTAGTAAATGCAAGTTCAGATGTCAAGGCTGTATACTGCTCTAAATGCGTATAAATCCAGGAAAAAGAAAAAAAAAATGGGTGTAATTAGAAGCAGAATTTGAGCGTATAAACTTTACAGAATGCTTTGAATAAGCTTGCTTGGACGCACGTTCTCATTAACGCAGAGCAGTGAACTAGAGTACATTCAGCATAGACAAAATGAAACAGAGTGAAACTGGAACTGCTCACAAATTCCTAAGAAACTTGGTGGTTTCCTTTTAACACAGTCAGTTGTTTTGTGACATAAAGCCTGAACAAGATCAGCCTACAAGTTGTGCTGTCAGTGCATGTTTTAAACTGATCATGACAGTTGGATAGTTTCTGCTATCACACAAATAGGACAGAGCTACTTTGTAAAACTTTTATAATCTTAGCTGTTTTATGAACCTGATTCTTCCAATGACTGCATAAAGATCTGATGTGAGTATAACACTGCTAAAATGCACATTGATATTTACTGTATTTCTGACTGATAGATTGCAGATTTTTTCCTATTAAGATTTTCTTAAGTTAATTTTCAATTTATCTGTAGGGAGTGGTCTCTGCTTACTTTCTTTTGGTTGTTAAAAAAACCCAGCCTGCAGATGGTAGGTTGTTTTGATTGTACAGGAAGTCTGGAGACCTTCACTTTCTTCATTCCCGGGAGAAGCACAGGCTAGGAAGAGGAGAATTTCTTGTGCTTCTCTGAAAAATATTTCTTTCTGTAGAAGCTGGAGATATAAAAGAAAATATGCAGCATATCATGCCAAAGTGTTAGCCTGTGTTGTTCAGTGCTGCTGCTATTAGAATTATTGTATTTGTCATTGAAGAAAGAAAGTAACAGTGAATAAGATATAACAGGTGACAGTTAAACACTGCAGGAAGAGTGAAAATTCACAAGGGTGAACAAAGAAGCAAGTGAGAAATGATATCTCTTCACCTGAAAGCTGAAGTGAGATGGAAAGCAGACCAAAACGATGCAAATAGGCTGTCCCAGGTGATGTGAACATAAGATCCAACAGCAGCTTGACTGCATAGTGAGGTGGACAACAAGGGACCGCAACAGCAGAG